TTTTTTTTTTTTTTTTTTTTTCCTGGTGATTTATTTTAACTTTTAACAGTGTGAATTGCAGATCTGCACTCGGCGCTTTCAAACATCGATTTCTTTACGCTAATGTCTCGTATGACCGTATCCTACTGATTATATTTTATCGAGTTTGTCATTGTGATTTCTTTTGCTCCTTTCTCTTTTGCTCCAATCTCTTCCTTTTGTTTTGAGCCCCTTTTTGTGTTTCTCTTACCTTTGGTTCTCTAGGGCTTCATCTCTAGCCTACCCCAACTTGCTTGGGACTAAAGGGCTATGTTGTTGTTGTTGTATTTAGATTCTTAACGTAATCTAGATATGGTTGGTTGGCGAACTTCCTCGATAAGAAGGGAAAGAGAACTTGTTAAGGTAATTAAAAGTATTCTCGACGAACTTTGCTGATGTCATTAAATATTTTTTACATTTATTCTCATCATTTTTTCGAGTATTTGTTCAATATATTTGAGATTAGAAAAGTTTTGGGTTATTTATACTTCAGCTAAACTCAGTCGATTTTGATATCATTAGCCACCTAGTCAATCATTGGACGGTTACGAACATATTGTCAATGTCGAGTACTGCCTGCCAGTCTTGACCGAGAGTCCCGATTTTTCTCCAGAAGCAGCCAAAGCAAAAGAGGCTGCACAAAACGAACCAAACACGAAGAACACAAGAGAGTATCACGAGATTATGGAAGGTTTCAATCATTTGCATGTTCGTAATTATATTATATTTTAACAACTTAGGAAATAAACAGTTTGTTGATTATTACTACAGAGGAGATGATCGATGGCTTACAACAGCTTGGCTGGGTAAAAGTTGACATTAGCTTCCACTCGGCTTTCTGGCCATTCCTAGCTCATCACAACATTCATGTAAAAGTTAAAAAAATGCAAATTGTAACATTTTGTGAGTAAACTTTTTACTTTTCTTCAGTGTCATTCGGTTCTTACGATTTCTTTTTTATTTTATTTTTTTCAGATGAAAAGCGAATGGTTCAATAACTCTGGAGCTGGTGTGGTAGCTCATGTTGCCGATTTCATAAATCAGCAAACCGGGACATCGGGTCCAAATTTGCAGGGGAGATAGATATAACACCAAGATATCTCTGTGTATTTTCTGCAGAAAAAAAGCTTGGAAAATGGACTTTGGATCTACTTTCTTTCTTTCCCTCATCTACTCTCAAAAAATTCTCTAGTTCTATGTTTAGTCAATTGGATGTGTGAAATTTGATTTGTAGTCAACTTTAGCCATTAGTTGAAAAAAGTTTATGATCATTCATCCATATTTTGACATTGTAGGGATCTGTTCTTTCATAAATATTGAATATATATTACTGCACAGTGCACAATTTGAAGCACTTGATTCATATTTGAAGAATCTAAATATGTTTAGTTTAAACATTTTAATTAATTATTTTTTTGTATAATTTTGAGATGTTAATTTAGGTTTTAGATGATAGTGATTGTTTAATTCATAATTTTTAAAATTTTAAATACTTTGATAAATCTAATTAAGATTTTAGATGATATATTACAGGTAGTAACATTAATAAAATCAAATAAGTTCACTATATTAAAAGGTAAGTTATGATATATTTTTTAAATATTCTAACAAAGTATCGAAATGTTGGGAAAAACATTTTAAGAGTAGTAAATATTTTAACCGTGTCAAAATGTTTGAAAGAAAATAAATACTTTTTAGAATAATAAATGTTTATTTTAGTATACCAATTGTATTAATCAGATTGAACTAATGATCATGAATTAGATTGAACTAATGAATTATAAATTATTGTGAGAGTGTAGTATAAGTATAGTTGAAGTTGAAGTTGAAATGACGGTTTCACAGTTGAAATGAATTATAAATTATTGTGAGAGTGTAGTATAAGTATAGTTGAAGAAATGACGTTTCACAGTTGAAATGATTATTTGTAGTATTAGATTGAATTAATGAATTATGAACTATTGTATTGTATTAGAAGTATAGCTGAAATACTCTCACACACATCTCTTGGCATTTGAGCCATTGCGCATCATTCTAAGAAGAAGAAATTGATTATTATTATCAAAAATAGAAGAATGTAGTAAAAATTGAATTCAAATTAAACATTGTAATAAAAATATACCTCGTTTTTTTTTTCTCAAACATCAAATTTCATTACCACACCTCGTAAATACAGCTGATAATCAATGGATTACACTTCATAACCCAAACTAGCCTAGACGAGAAAAGGAACCAAACAGGGAAAAACACAACAAATGTCCCCTACACAACCTACAAACTGACCAAAAACTTACTAAAAATCGGTCTAGGCAGCGCTTGCCCGGCCGCCTCCGATTTCTGGTCGAGCACCTAGTGGGCGCCTAGCGACTTCTGTACCAAAAACACTCACACCTATTATACTAAAAAACTCTACAAGGGAGACTATGAACTCCACAAAGAGAGACGGGCACTCCCACAAAGAGATGAACAAAACACAGAAACACACTAACAAAAGAAAAAAGCTTAAAACTTAATATCTAAACTAAAACCCTCTTCACCAACGGCCACAACTCACCTAGAGCCCTCCAGCAAGTATCAACTCGCCATTCTTTTCTTTACTTCAATGAATTTTTATTTGAAATCGTTTGGTTTGTGAATAATTATTTGTTTACCAGAAATTTTTCTATGTTGTGCCAAGAGCCGAGTGAATTTCTAGATTTTTATGTCTTGAAGCTGCAGTACTATATTTTTTTTCAGTTTGTGAATGATATACTGGATTTTAATTGAGGGTGTCTTTTTAAAGTTTAAACCCAGCAGGAATAATAAGAATGACCACAACTGAAGGGAACTTTTCTTCACCGAGGGCTATGGCCAAAGATGAAGTTAAGCCCGATCATCTAATTGTTCTTGTTCATGGCATCATGGGAAGGTATGTATATTCATTGTACATGAAATAAATGTGAAGGAAAATGGGAAATTATCACTAGATAAAATAAAAACCTCTTCGAATCAATGGATTTATGTGGTCTTGTAATGATGCACTGTTTTCTGTAGACTGTTGAAATTGTGTAATTTGTAAAGTTTTTCCGTGTATTTACATGTTGTTCGTAATAAGATTAGATTAGATTATTATAACACCTTATGAAATTAACAGTTTGTTGATTATTACTACAGAGGAGATGATCGATGGCTTACAACGGCTTGGCTTGGTAAAAGTTGACGTTAATTAGCCATTAGTTGGAAAAAAGTTTATGATCATTCATACATATTTAGACATTGTTGAGAATTGTTCTTTTCATAAATGATGAATAATGTATATTACTGCACTATTTGTAACACTTGATTCAGATTTGAAGAATCTAATGTGTTTAATTTAAACATTTAAACTTTTGTTTTTTTGTTTTTTTTAATTCTGAGATGTTAATTTAGGCTTTGATGATAGTGAATGTTTAATTCATAATTTTTAAATTTTTTAATTGTTTGATAAATTTAGTTAACATTTTAGATGATAATTAGAGGTAGTAAAATTAAAATATCAAATGAGTGCACTATATTAAAATGTAAGGTATGACTCTTTAAATTTTTTAAAAATTTTTAATTGATTTTGATCACATAATCCAACAGCCATTGGCATTATCGTCGCTAAAATAGGTGGCAGCCTGCTGCAGTTGGTAGTAGCCATGTTCATGCCTATTGTACCCATGCTTGTAATAGTTGTACCAAGAGGATGGCTCAGCCGTGTAGTAGCCATCTGAGCATGGCTCAGCTGGGAAGCCATGGGGATTGCTGTTCATGTAGTTATTAGCCGAGCTGCCATAGTAGTTGTACTGGCTGCAATAATCGTGGTACTCCCGGTTGTAAGGATATGGCCAAAGCTCAGCTTGCCGGCCGGTTTTTCTAACTGTTTTAAGAACTTTGTCTTGATGGGCTAAACCCGTCACCGTCACTTTTTGCATGTACATGTCTATGTCTATGGTGTCCACACCTGATTTTATAAGGAATTTTTAGAGATTAATTATAAGAAGAGGATAGATTGATTTCTATATGATTAGATGAGCTAGGAAAATTTAGAATTTGATTATAGAGTTGTTAAACAAATCCAACAGTCTCGATTCAGCTTGTTAAGGCTCGTTAATTAATTAAACTCTAGAAATAAAGATTTTTAAGTGATTTTATGAAATATAATTTAGCTTGGCTCATAAATTTTTTTATCGGCTCGAATGCTCGATAAAGGAGCTCGAGCATTTACAACTCTACTTTGGACGTGGATTGGAAAAAAACAAAAAAAAAAAATGAAAATTCAGTAATAAAAAAATCACTATAATAAATATGAAATTAGTGGTACCATCTAATTTGGAGAGAGCTTTCATGATTTTGGTTTCACATCCTGGACAGTCCATATGCACTCTCATCTCAACAATCTGAATGTAAATAAACATATTATAATTATAAACATATTATCAATTAAAAATGATTATGTAAGCAAATTGGATCCCTTAATACTGTGGGCCATCTTAATTTTAATTGTGATAAATGAATAACTTGTTTCACTATTTGTCAAATGACACCACATTTTCAAGCTATGCACTTGTGCCAAGTAACCGCGTTATACAACAAAAATAGTAACAATAATGAACTACAACAACAAAAGAAAAATAATTATTCAATATATATAAGGCAAGAATTCTCGATTTTTTAGGGAGATTTACGAAAAGAGAAATTTAAATAATACTTCATAAGCTCTTCCTATTTCAATATCGTCTTTAATTTTCGTACATAGTTAAAAGAAGCTAGCTTCGTGATTTTTTCAGATGGATTTAAATTTAGATCAATGCATGCAATTTTTTCAGCATGAATAGACATTTTGGGACTTTGAGTTGCATGCAAATTACTTGTAATTTTTGTAATTACATTATTAGAGATACAATATATAAATTGATACAATATATAAATAGATATAACTATATCAGAGATATATTCTAAAGGAGAAAAGCTAACCGTCATGGTGGAGAATACTTTTAAAGGAGACGATGACAACAACGCACGTGTAAACTGTGAAGGAAGATTTTGGTGAAGAACTAAATAGTAAATATGCCTCGTATATATAACTGGGGATGATTAATACAAAAGCAATAATATGATAGAAATTTCAAGGAAATTGAACTTCTTGTAATTTAATTGGACGGCAAGCTAAATACTAACTATGCAACATAATTTATATTGATTAGTATCCCTTCTATAAATAAATGGAGAGTTTTTAGAGCTTATATATGTCCAACTTCTAATGCTTCATAGATTAAGTACTTTTGAAATTTCCGGTTGAGTCTAATTATTTTTTTAATCCAAATAATACATGGATTAAGGAATCAATTCATTAATAAACAAAGACTTGGACAAATGTCAAGCTTGTTGATTTTAATTTTTAAGAACATCGCTTACGTGACACTATCTGCTAGAATATTTTAAATGAAACTTACACTAAACAGGCCAGAAACTTAAAGCCATCAGAGGTACGTAATTTACACGAAATTGACCTCTGAGGACTCAGCCAGTTCCTTTGCAGTCAAGTAGCCAAGGGCGAAATTGCATATAAATATAATCGGTTTTGATTGGATTTATCAGTTAAATTACGGAGTTAAATATGAATAAAGTTGATTGAATGGAGGAATGAGTGAGATTTTGAGTTTGTATTATGATAATATTTAAAATGTAATGATTTAAGTTGATATGATGTAAAAGTAAGAGAGAAATTATTGAAAATGATAGGTAATTAAAAATATGCGACTAGTGAATTAAAGTTAATGTAATGTGTGAGGATGACTGATTGATATTACTGAATTACGTGGATAATACAGAGTTTGGTTGAATTTGAATTGAATTTTGAGTTACAAAGTGTAACAAAAAAAAAATTATTCGATCAGCCAAATTTGATTATATTTTATAGTCAATTGCACCCTAAATGCTTTACCTATTTACTATAAAATATGCATTTTTATCAATCAAGTTCTTAGGCAAGTTTTGCTTATACACTGGAAAACTATGATAAAAGCAATCGAAGTTGGGTTCGTGAGGAGCACGGGAAACCTTTTAGTCCAGCAGAAGTTAAGAGCGGAGCACAATTTAAAGATGATCAGCAATCTCGTCTTTTACGACACGAGCATATGAAACATAAGAAACATAATTTAGTTTAAATAGGAAAACAATAATGCAGGACATGAATGCCATCAGTATCATCTCTTCATAAAAGTCTTTCTTTTACATAGTTTTCATAAAATTTCACAAATGAACAGAGAAGGAAAAAATCCAAGCATTCGTACTTAGCAGCTGCATTATTTGTTAAGGTCACGGGACATAATTCTTGATAACCAAAATGAATGAGAGCTAGATTAAAACCAGACCTAGTTAAATGAAATCAAGAAACTGCAGCAAATGAATTTGAATAAGTGCAACTAAAATAAAGCAACATTTCACTAAAAATCTCCAGCTTTATAGTTTCTGGATCAAATATCCGAAAGACAAGATAACACCTGATTATGTAAAACATGAGAATTCAATTGCATAACTAGAACTTTATACCCAGTAAAAAAATTTAAATCTTTGTACAACAATTAGACACTAATCCAGCAGAAAAAAAGAACCCAACAACATTGTACATATCACAGTTTCAAAGTAGATCAATGGATGATGAGAAAGAGAAGCATGGTAAATCGCCTTTTGAGCAGCATGAAAACAATTCCCAAAAAAAAAAAAAAAAAAAACTTCCATGTTCTTCAATAAATCATCTCGACAACTTGCTAAAACTTGTTCACACAATGCTGCATTCATTAAACATGTGCAAATTCAATAGAACTTTGTAATAAAGCTCCTTCTCTATTTCCTCTTCCTTCAAATGAAAAATTGTTCACTCACTCAGTGCTACGATAATTAAACACGTGCAAATCCAACAGAACTTTATAATGCCCCTTCTCGATATCCTCTTCCTTCACATTATGAAGGAGAAGAGTCTCGATAATAAAATCTTCCCAGTCAACAACCGCTTTCACTCTCTTCCTCTTCTCACCCGATTTTGCCGACCCCAAGAGACTCGGACCATCACCTTTCCCAGAGCCCACAATCTCAGGATTCATAATCCTCTGTATGCGGGACTTGGCAGTTTTTATCCTATCCCTTCTCTTTTCATAAGCCAAACACGACTTATCGAAAGATGGGGGAGTCACATCCAATCCCACGTCCTTCTTTAAGATCTCTTTCAAGAAAAGCTTCTTGCTCAAATCTGATTTCCCACTCCACCAATCAATACATGAACGGAGGTCAATATGCTTTCGCCTTTTCCCTATATTCTTCTCCACATCAATCATCTCTGCATTCGCCTTGACAAGAGAAATCTCATCCTTGAAATTAGAATAAATCATGGTCAAACACTCGGGCGAAATTCGGAAATTATCCAATCCAACACTGCTCGAATTCGACTGGCGATCGATATCGAAATAATTCGATCTAGATTCTTCAACCGAGTAACTACAAATATCTGTCCTCAAGCAATCCTCAACCAGTTCTTGAATATCAAAATGAGAAAACTCAAAGCTCGGATTTTTATCGCCAGATTTTGCCATTGACTTCATTTCCATGTACTGAATAACAAAAGGAGCATTCTTTAAAACGTTCTTAACTGTCACGTCTTTTCCCCAAGGCAAAACCCGTGCAACTTCTACGAGCCTCTCGAGAAGCTCCTTATACCTCAGCCGGCAAGTAGAAAGAGCCACATGAAGTTCTCTTGCAATATCTTCAATTTTTACACTCACTTGATTCAACTCGGCCACAAACACCAAAACTGCAGCCACCACTGGCATCGGCCTTCGTCCTGTGGTCACAAACCATTTTATCAAACACTGAATTAAAAAAATTCCCTGTTTGAGCATCTCCCCAATTGTATCCTTCGATACCTGGCTGAAGCTCGGGCAATTCTCCACAGCACGTTTGAAGGAATTCACGATGTCAAACTCCGGCAGCTTCATATCAAGAAAATCCACAACACGGCCAATCATTCCGCCTAATTGGTAAACGTCACAACAGACCGAATCGGCAATTTCGGCAATGGGCATCACTTTTTGATCGTTTCTCATGACGACATAAGTACAGGCGCCGATTAAAATGGGAAACCAATTACCCTGGCCGTATTCGCCGTCGGTGATCTTCTCGATCAGAATCCTGACCTCCTTAGATTTCGACCCCTCAAGCCCAAATCTTAACATGAAGTCGTCGATGAGCTTCTGGGCTTTGAAGATTTTGTTCTCCTTGTAATTGTTGACGGAGCCAGTGCCGGCGGTACCGACGCGAACGTTGGTGCCTGTAGGGCCGGTGAAGCCGCCGATATGTGCTTGGTAATCGTCGAATTCCTGAACGGCGCCGCACGACATGCAACTTATCTTGCCCGTTTCGCCGTCTGGGGCTAGGGTTCTTTCCCGGCAACAGGGGCGAGAGTTGTCCATCTTGTTTGCAAATCCAAAATCCCCAATTTCTTGTAACAGTTACCGAAGTTAAAATCGCCGCGACGGCGTCGTCAGCGGTTTACGGGAATTTTAGGCGGCGGCGGCGGCGTCGTCGAGATCAAAAGGGAAAGTGTTAGAATACGTGTTTTTTTGTTATATTTGTTTTGGTTTTTATAGTCTGATTTAATACGTGTACGGTGTACATATTTAATTGTCTATATTTATACTAGTGCACATCCCGTGGCACGGACGAGTTTGTTACTTAAAACTTTTTTTAAAAAATTATTTTAAATATTATTATTTATTTTAAAATCTTATTATTGCAAGAAAAAAAATACATAATATGAAAAAATTTATATTATTTATTTGAATAGAATGAGTCTTCACAATTAGACCAATAACATCTAATACATGATAAATAATAAATTTTTTTAAATGCATCGCCATCTTTAAATATATATATATATATAGGGGCCGGTTCAAATAAAAACTAGTCCTAGTTAAAAATAGCACCAAGCACAATCAATCATAGCACTACGCACAATTAAAAATAGCGGTTCTTACGGTTCTCACACTAAGACTTGGTTCTCATTTGAACCACATCCTATATATATATATATATATATATATATATAATAAATATGAGATATTTAAGATACATACGATTAAAATTTATAATTTAAATATGAGATAAAAAATGGCAAATATGTTTTGAAAAGTGTAAAGTCGTATTATTTTCATGCAATTGTTGAATTCAACAAAATCGTTAATTAAATATCATTAAATTTGTTGTATGAGATAAATTTTATAGTCAAATATAAACCCCCATCAAATTGTAATTATGTTGTGTGATTTCGTCATATCAAATTTTTTTCTTTTCCAATATTAATTCGTATGATATCTACTCTTTATTATCTTATTATGATTGTTTTACTTTCGAATATTTATCACGACTAATTGTTTAATAGCGTGTACAAAAAAAATATCTGCCAAGAATCCACATAATGTGAGATTCTTTTCAAACTTTAAAAAGATTTTGTAGTTAGATAAATATGGACAAAAAAATCATTAACTAAGTTGAAGAATCCAAAATATAAAATTTATTTTTTGAAATTAACATTCTTTATTAGATAAATAAGGATTTTTTAGTTGTGACCATAAAATATGGAATTTGTAGTTAGATAAATGGATAAAAAAATATTTGACAATTAAGTTGGCATGACTTTTCGGAAAAAAAAAATTAAAATTTTAAAGTATTTTATTTGGTAAATAATTGACCGGATTTTTTGTAACCAAATTCACATGTTTGACCAAAAAAATTTAAGGAAAAATTGACCAAATATTTTTGAAGCAAAATTTTCACGATTCTTACTAAAAAATCTCATATTTTCATTACTTGAATTTCAAATTCAAATTTAGACACAAATTTTCAAAAATTTTCGAAAAAAAGTGGCAATAACAGTAAAATCAAGATTTTTAGGTGTGTATTTACATGTTGTTTTAAGTAAATTCCTATTATGTTTTGGTTCCGGAAAAACTTCTAAGTTTTCTTATTGGTCACACAAGTCAAACCAATTATAGTCTGAAACTCGTAAGCTCAATCACAAGAAATTACTAAATATATAACACAGTTACATTAGAAAATGCTTACTGTAGAACTATTATATGCTACAGCCAAAACACCAAATCACTAATAACTCAAATTAATAGAGAGAAAAATGGGGATTAACCTATAACTCTAGGCCTTCCTCCAGGCACCTTCGGATCTCCGAGACCACCACATGGTCCACCAGTTGGTGCCGCCGCTTGGCGCGCGAGTCTATAAATTGCAGGAACTGGCTAAATGCAATTTCACAATTCTAATTTTGCCTAATAAACTTAGATGTCTTTTACTGCAAAAAAGACCAAAAAAATAAATGTCTTCTCATTTCACCAACTTAACACAAGTTACCCAAGTTTATTAGTTGGAAAAAAATACATGTTAAACAAAAACTTTCGACTATTATTCCAAAACAAATATAATGAAATTTCAAGATTTCCACAAAAATTCTCTGTCTCCTTTTCTTTTCGGAATTAGAACGTGATCAAAAATTCAGGATTTTAATTTTCTCAAATAAATTTCAATCTCTTTTCCCCCAAAAGCAAGGAAATCCAAAGCAATCGTATTCAGGTAATAGATAAAAATCTACAAACATTTACCAGAACATCCACAAACACACACATAAACGAAAATAATAATAAGCTTTTACTTTTTACCAATTGCTGCCAATTGTCTCATCGACGCGAAATCCAATGGCAAATTCGAAGACGATTTTGATGTAAATGATCGAAAAATCGGGCTCCAACGCATCTAACTCGACGATGGTCGTTAGCAGCGCCGCCCGAGAGTAGACGGTGTCTTCGGCTTCATCGCTGCACTTGAGCCGCTTGCGGAGCAGGTGACCCGGTTGCTCTTCGTCTTCGCTTGCTTCAATAATAAAGATAAAAATGAGAGACAAATAAAATAATGTTTAGCTTTTTAGATAATGATATTATTATATGGAATTCAAGATCCAAAAAATCTGAACGATACTTGAAATATTTGGAAATAGTCAAATATTTCAAATAAAATTTGAGGGTGAAAATAAAATTTGAGCGGGAAAGTAACAATTCATTTTCGAATTTTTTCTTGATTTTTTCTTAACTGTATTATATAGTAATAGATTAACTAGTAAATATTCTGTGCACATGCACAGATGTACATAAAATATAATAAGTAATATTTGAAAATTTAATATTAAAATTTTAGATAATGAACAAATTACATTTTTAAAATTTAATCATTAGGAAAAATAAGTTAATGATTGTTTATTATTATGAACAATTGTTAATTATCATTAGATAATAGCAGTTTGATTACTATTATTATTATTATTATTATTATTACAAAAACAATTGTGTATAAGATTCTAAAGTTGTTTGAATATGCTATTAAAATAATTTAGTAATTGTTTTTAAAGAAAATTTTTCATTAGATACAAAAGAAAAAGATAATATTGATGTTAAAATAAATAACTTGAAACAATTGTTTATAATTATGCAATTTATATTTATTGTGAATTACTATTAGTTGGTATTAGCATTAATTATTATACAATATAATAGAAAAATAAATTATTACACTCAATAGGATGTATTAATGTGAGAAGTAAAAAATATTAATGAGAAATTTTGTAACCGAAAATGGAGGGAAAATTTTAGAAGTTTTATTAAATAGGTTTTCTTAAATGCTATTAACTAGTAATTATATATACTAGTAATCAACCTGTGCATTTGCACATAGAAGAATACTTTAAAAAGATAACAATATAAATAAAAACAAAAATAAATTATAATTTAATTCATATGAAAAAAAATATGAATTAAGAAAATAATTCTCAAAATTGATTCTGATCAAGTAATTGCTATGGAAGAGCCGTTACAATCATTTTCTTTATGCTAAGACACTCGGTCATTTTCATGAGTGGGTGTGACTTAAAATTTGAGTACAATTTTGTAACTCCCTTGATTGGTTTATGCTCATAATTTATGGCATTCAAACAAGTTATTTTGTAACTTAAAAATGAAATTGAATGTTAAAAATTTTGGAGAAATAATAAAATTTAATGCATGATAATATAATTTAATGCTTTGTTGCTCCTCTCTATATATATAGAGATTGAAGGATTTACTGAGGGATTTCAAATCTTCATGCATGTTGGGATGATAATGAAAATTGGAGGATTTCAAATTCATGTTAGATATTTTTTAGTTATTATTTTGAAAGAATTTAAAATGACTCCTCAAACCTAGTCATTTGAAATCCACTATTTATCACCGTTGACGACCACGTCGTCCGCGATCATTTAGGTTCATCACCACCGCGAGTCAACACCATCGGTGCGAGCTAGACAATTTATTTATAATATTTTCAACACATCCATATTCAAGGAGTGTGCAAGTAAATTTATATTTCAAAAATCAAGGGATTTCAAATCCCTCAAAACCAACGGAGCCTTAATGAATTGTCAAATGCATATATTTGATCACGATATATTCACCTATTTATCATACTATCATGACATTTTTTACTTTCATTAATAAAATTTGACTTGAACATGACCATTGATAGATAATTATTTTTATTTTACCACTATGACACTTTCTCATATGATCTCATTTTTCTTTCTACATGTATGAAGTCGTAAACATAAAAATAGACTTTTCCCCTTTTTATATATATCGGTGGGTTCATGGTAGCCAGACAATTTCATAACCGTATAACTTCCTCTACTCTGACCAAAATTTAACTATAACTGGTCATAAATGCTAAAGTATGTACGCAAACAAATTTGGGTCAATTCAAATAAATTATAACTAAGTTTTTTGCCATTGAATTTTGGTTCCTTGCATTAATCACAGCTATATTATTGATATTATGTTATTATTATTACTAGTATTCGACCTTGTGCATTTGCACAGATGTAAATAAAATAAATATTATAAGTTATATTTATGTATATAATATAAAAATTATAAGTTATATAATTGTATTATATTTCAAACATATAGTATTATAAGTTATATTTATGTATATAATATTAAAATTATAAATTATATAATAGTATTATATTTTAAAATTTGATCATTGGTTAAAATAAATAGTACACACGATTTGATTGTATACGAATCACTATATTGATCGCATAAAATATAATAAATATATAGCTGAAAAATATTACATTTATTATAACAATTGCTTATGTGATTTTAAGAAATTTTACTATGACATAAAAAAAATTAATTTATTAATAAACAACCGCTTCATCATATAAAAAAATATTTATTTTAGTGTAAAATATAATTTTATGTAACTTTCATATATTATTTAGTATAAAATATAATTACTAATTTTAATATTAACTATTATATTATTCAATAAAAAATATAATTATTAATCAGTAATGAAATATTTTCTTATTAATGAGATTGGGTGTATTAATGCCACATAAATAAAATTTATTAGGTTCTATTTATTAGGTTTTATTAATGATTTGCCACATAGGTAAAATTTATTAGGTTTTATTTATTAGGTAAAATTTATTGCTTAGCTAGCAATTATATATATATATAGATTTTTTTATAGTAAGATATTATTTAAAATAGGTTTCCTTTAAAAAGAAGGAAAAAGAGAGACGGTAAAAGAGAGAAGCAAAAATATTCTCTCTCTCTCTCTCTCGAATTCTCCACATTATTATATTTTGTAGATGTTTATACCGTGTTTTAGTTTTTGTCATTTTGATTTTTGTTGTTTGTTATTAGTCTTCTTTTGTGGGAGTGTTTTTTTTTTCTTTGGAGCGTTGTAATCTCTCATTTAGGAGCTTACAAAAATAATAAACAAGATAAAATATAAAATATAATCACAATACTAAAATTTATTTTGTTTTAAAAAATTTGAACCAAATCTATGGTGTTGTAAATGATATATGTTTTAAACATACATAATTTTAAAAATTTAATAAAAATGTAATGCTTGACAAATTTAGTGTAAAAATATGGACGTCATTTTAAATTAGTTATCACTTGATTAGTTATTTATTATTGTTATATATTCATTATACAAAATTTTATAATACAAATAAAAATTATTTTAAATTTTTTAATTGTACAAATATTAATATATTTAAGTACCCGTGTAGTACACAGATATCATACTAGTTAATTGATATAATTAGATAAAAATAAATTTTGATATATAATATTGATATAGGATATTATACTAGACCGGTTTAAATAGATAAAAGGAAATATCGGTACGGCAGCCGTCCGAGTTGAAGGAGCCCGAGTGAAATCTTATTCACTTATAATACATTTATAATTATTATAATATTTTTATAATCTTGTTATTATTTAATTGAAAATTATTTTACATTTTATGTGAAAAGATATAGCATTATTATATTTTTGAACTAAATAAAAAATTCATCTTAAAAAAATCTTGAGCTAGGCTACTCCTAGTCCCTAGAGTAGACTGTTGAGTTACGAGAACAAGACTGAGTATTCAAAACCCTAAATTCGCAATTTGTTAATGTCATTGTCGTTGTTCGTATTGGCGTCGAAGTTGTAAGTTTTTGGTGAGATTCTTAATCAAATTCTCGTACTCAGTTTAATTACAGGAATCTTATCCCTTGTTGGTGGCATCGATTTCTTTATGGTATGTGATAGGTTGCCCTATTTCCATGTTAATATTGAAGAATTAGAGGCCAAGCTTAAGAGTGTAGAAACAACAACAACAACAACAACAACAACATACCCAGTATATTCCCAACAGGTTGGGGTCTGGGGGGTCAGTTGTACGCAGACCTTACCCTTGTAATTATACATGGAGGCTGTTTCCGTAACGACCCAACAACAACCTTGTAATTAGAAGTGTAGAAGTAGTTTGTTTGTTTTTTTTCAATAAATAGTTTGTTTTTTATTTTATTTTCAAGCTCTGATGTTATATTTAGTATATGCCACTATTTGGTATTCTAATGCAACAATCCGTGTATGTTGAAACCATTGAAGTTTTTGGTTGTGTTTGTCTGGGTGGAAGCTTGCTCGCTAGTTTGTTTTGAGATTGTATGGTTAATTAGGAGAAGCGACTCGTTTAGTGTACGGAAATTTCAAATTTTGTTACATGGGGATTCTTCATTTATACAATCTTGTGGATTTTTAAACATTATACCTTTATGCTACTATTTGGTATTCTAATGAAACATTTGTGTTTAGTGAAAAAATTGGAGTTTGTGGCTGTGTTTGACTGTGTAGAAGCTTGTCTGCTATGAGATCATAGGGATAGTTAGGAAAAACAACTCGTTTAGTGTACGGAAATTTCAAAATTATGTTTTGACTGTGTAGAAGCTTGTCTGCTATGAGATCATAGGGATAGTTAGGAAAAACTACTCGTTTAGTGTACGAAAATTTCAAATTATGTTTACATGGTGATTCTTTGTTTTTATACTTTTGGCAGATATAGAATTTTTGGAGCTTTCAAATGGAAACTCCAATAGAAGGGACTTCAGATAATGTCGACTTAGGCTTTGTTCCAAAGCCTTCAGTCATATATCGATGCAAGAATTGCCGAAGAATTGTTGCCACAGAAGAGTATATTATTCCCCATAACCGTGATGAAGGACAAAAAGGTTTCAGAGGGAAAAGAAGAAATGCAGATCCTGAATTGGAAGCGCCGGTTGAGTGCTCATCTATTTTTGTGGAGTCCATGAAGTGGATGCAAACACGTAAGCTTTGAACTTAGCCAACAATTTCCTTTCACTATCGTTTAGAATGTGTTTTTTTTATTGCATTCTTGTCGTTTTGAGTGATAATTGGTTTTTACCTATTTCTATAGCTCTGTCAATAATAATCCACTTCTATTTAAATGTGTGTTGTATTGACAGTGGAGGAAGGTTACTTGGGAGACAAGCTTCAGTGTTTCTGT